CCTTGGAAAGCCTCGGTTCTACTGAGATTTATAAACACTTTTCCTTGTGATCAGATTTGGTGCCTCATACTTTGCCTTCCTCATGGGTAGCTGATTATCCTAGGGAGCTGAAAATTTGGACAGTCAGATTTCTGCAACATTTTGTTTGAAATCCAGAATTCAACATAATGTTTCCTGTAGGGTGAGAGAGTGGGGTTAGGGAAGAGAAAAGTGGGAACATATTTTGATTATTTTAAATCACCCCTTCGATCCTCACCAATAGGATTTACTCTTAAAGCCTGGTTTCAGGAATGTTAGACTGGATCCAAGCTTCAACTGGAAGGCAGTCGATGGTTCCCATATTTCTCATGTTCATTCACTTGCGTTTCTTTAAGTTAAAAGAAGAGTGCTTCCCAGAACTAGCCATTTCTCTTCACTGTTGCTAGGAAATAAATTCAGACACCAAAGCATTTAATATATACCATGGGATGGAGGAAAATAGAAGATACCCACCCTAATTTCCATTAGAGGGGAAACTCTGACCCAAAATAATTTAATTCTGTCTAGCTCACTTCCCACATTAATAAAGTAAAAAAAGCATTAAAAGCTAATGTCAACTTCTTTTAGGATTTTGGCAGGCTCTTCCAGAAAAAGCAAGGGAAAAAAATTTTATTTCACAGTGATGGGGACCCAGTGACACCAAGGGCAGGGTAGGCTCCTGTCTAAGCGAGCCTTTTCTTAACATGGTTCAGATTGTACTGATTCTCAAATATAGTTTATTCTCCAGGATTGTGCTTACTTTAATAGACTAGCTAGCAAAGAAAACAATGGGTCTATAGCTCCTTTTGTTGAAAATAATGAAAAGGAATTAGAATTGAAGGAGTTTAGCCCATCACTACCCATGGGACTGAAACCCATACACCCTGTCCTCCCTCCACCCCAGCACCTGCTAAGGGTAATGAGCTTCAGCCGCCCAGTGGGCTGGGGTCTGAAGCTCTGCTCATGACTGCGGCACCCAGACTTGGACATGGCCCTTTGGACAGGGAAAGACTCTAAGAAAGATAATCATTAGAGCTTTCTCAAGAAAGGGTGTAGAGCCTCAGAACAAGAGACTTAGAGAAGCAGATGGGGAATCCTAAGTATGGAGACCCAGGTTGGGAGTGGAATGAAGGGGTTCTCAGGAGAATCCCAAAAAAGCATCAGTCTCCAGGTTACTTTCTTGTGAAACTCAAGGTGTAATGTGGTAGACAATGTTATTTGCTAAAAGTCAAATACATGGTGAGAACAGCAATACTTCCCAGGGATGCTCTAGCAGAATAAATGTGTACATTGGGAGCATAAATGTGTGAGGAGGATGGGAGGAAGACATTTAGAGGAAGCCTTGTGGTTAGGTGACTATGGTAGGGTGACTAATGGCCCCCAAAACACATCCAGGTCCTAATCCCTGGAACCTGCACATTACGTTATATGGCAAAAGGGATTTAGCAGATGTGATTAGTTAAGGATCTTGAATGGAAATGTCATCCTAGATTAGTTGATGGGCTTTGAATGTAATCACAAACCTCCTTACAAGAGGAAGCAGAAGGAGATTTAACTACAGAAGACCAAAAAGCAATGTGACTATGGCAGCAGAGATGGGAGTGATCTGGCCACAAACCAGGGAAGGTTAATAGCTACCAGAAGGTGGAAAAGGCGCAAGAAAATAGATTCTTTTCTGGAGCCTCAAGAAGAACCAGCCCTGCCAGTCATGGCATTTTCACCATGACTCCAAACCATTAGGGAAATGATGGAAAAGAGTGCTACATTCATTAGATGTCAGCTGCAATCATTTTGGACTATCTCCATAAAGTCAGAAGAACAGAATAGAAAGAGACCTTACAAAGGAGAAGTCATACTTCAGGATTCAATGTGTTTGTCAAAGAACCATGCTTAGATTCCACTACCCTGGAAATTAGTTTTCAACCTGCCTCAATGGATAACCTTTCTTCCCATTGTTTAGGTGAAGGCTTTTGCCCAACTCTACCCTCAGATCAAATTCCCAGTGAACCTGCCTGACCACAGCTTCTAGCTTCTGGAAAATGAAGAAATTCATAGGAATCACTAGGCTAGGGGGAAACTAAGAGGAAAAGAATGACTTTTAGTCATGGTTAGAGCATGTCCCTGAAATGACACAAGAATGTTTAGATTTGGAAAGTCAGAGAAAGTCAGAGTCCACAAAGGCTGGAATTAGGGATTATTTACAGATTTGATGACAGACTGTCTCACTGCCTTAGACAGAACATATGGTGGGGAGGTGAATAGTTAAGATTTATACACTGAATTCATAAACACTAACCAATCAGATACGGAGATATAAAACATGGCATAAGTGGAAAACATCCAAGCACAGCTTGCCTTCTTGTGGAAATGACTTGGTGAATTCAGCATCTTCCTAATCTCACTGAGAACACAGACCCTAAGGGATAGGACTAAATGTTGATGATGATACATACATTCATCCTCCAGGATAATTTCAAATCTCAGTTCCTTATTTTCATGGAACGAAGGTTGACTAGCAGCTAGGCTGAGCACACCCTGTCTTCTGTGGCAGCAAGAGAAATCTTATGCACCCAGCAAAAAAGAAAAAAACTGGTGAAGAGTGAGAGTGGGAAGAGAACTTGCATCACACAAAGAAAAAAGAGATATGAACTTAACAAAGAAAAAGATATAACAAGGTAGAGGATATTATTTATTATTTATCAGAATTCCAGCTGTTGCTTCTAAAGAAGGTCAGACCCTAGGAGGACTCCATGTCCCCAGGGTCCCAGGAGTAGAAGGGGATGGAGCAGGAGGAACAGGCCATGTGATTCAGTCAGGCTCTCCACAGAAATAGAAGGTAGTCTAAAATGTTAAGGGAAGAGGGCTAATGAAGGAACTGTTACCACAAATGTGGAAAGGAGTCAAGGAATGAAGAAGGCGTCCTGCCCTGGATGAAGCACCAGGGCCTACCCACAGGGGAAAACTCTTTACTTCCCCTAGGCCTAGACGGGCAAAGGAGGAGCCTTCTGAGCTTCTCCAGAAATAGACACTGAGAAAGGCTTCCAGGGTAAGCAGTTTATGTGCTTACCAGCAGGGAAGTGGAAAAGTAAGATAGGGAAGGAATATCTACCAATAAAGTGTATTAAGCCAGTTATCACTGTGGGCATCTGGAACTTACCACCACAAGCAAACTCTGGGGGCTGATTCTGTGGGGCAAAGCACAGGCCATGGGGTTACTACCCACCCTAGGCCCAGGGATCCACTGTGGCTAGGCAGAGGTCAGAGCCCAAGCAGGGTAAAGAAGGCATCCCCATGGCAGAATGACCCAGCCTGGGGTTTTAGAACCCAAACAGGTGAAAAGGCCACCCATGGGGTGGGAGAATCCAACCTGGGCAAAAGAGTAACAGAGAATTGGGTAGCCTGGAATGAAGGGTCAGAGCCCAAGCAGAGAGAGAAGGGTACCACATGGGGGAGGAAGAAGATAGGAGATAGATTTTATACTGGGGGACTGATCAAATAAATAAATATGTTAAGGATAGAAGAGCCAGGTTTCTCCCTGACATAAGAGGGATAAATAAAGGAATAAATCTAGAATGAATCACTATGTAATATTGTATTGGAATTAATGGCATGGGTGTGACATCATGGATTTATAGATAGATATCTAAATGTATGTATGTATGCATACATATTATATAAATATACATTTGTATACACACACATATATGCATACACAATTACATCTGTATTTCTATTTATACACATATCTGTCTGGATAGACACAGATCCCCAGCTCTGTCCGCTACTGGAAATCCCAATAGCAATGAGCATAACTAGTTTCTAGATCTGGGCTTCTAAAACCAATTTCCATTCAAAGAAACCAGGGCTCCTTAGAAAAGCAGCTGTTCCCAGCGCTGGGATAGGGGAAGCTCCAGCTGAGGCTGGAATATCTCATTCCAGAAAGCAGGGAAGTGCTAACACAATGATGGGGACACAACAGAAGGATACAAGACCCAGTTTGAATGGTCTCCCACTGGCCAAGGTTGGGTTAACTTTAGTATCAAAACAGCATAATCATAGTAAACAATTGTAATCCATTGAATAAAATAGGACACCATGATGTCATTTAGATATAAACAAATAAATCAATAAATTGAAATTTTGATGAGGAAGAGAAGATTTATAGTTTCAAAGTACTTTCCCACACAATAATTATTAACTATAAAGAGAAAAAGAGTTACCTTCCAGTGGGGAAGTTCGATGGACACCACCTAAATCCAGTGATGAAAGTGAACATTATCAGTAAAGTAACAAGGCGAAATTGTGATGGAAAGAGCACAGGATCACTTCTGTGTTATTTCTGCCCAAGAAGAAGAACCAAATTTTAATCATGAAGAAACATCAGAATGACCCACACAAGAGACATTCTACTAAATAACTGCTTGTAACTTTCAAAAGTGTTGAGTCTATGACATCTAGACTGAAGAACTTTCCAGACTGAAGCACACGACAGAGACGTGGCAACTAACGCACAGGGAGATCCCGAACAGAATCCTGGGCTACAAAACACATTATGAAGACAGCTGGCAAATCTCGAATGCAGTCTGAGCACTCGACGCTAGCAATGTATCAATGGTAATTTTCTGATGTTGTTGGCCATGTTATAGCTATGGGGGACAGTGTTCTTGTTTGTAGCAAATACATGCTACTCAGAGGTGATAGCACAATAGGTCAGAAACTCAAAAAAAGAACAGTCCTTTTGTTGTGCTTCCAGCTATTTTATAAGTTTATGGTCATTTCAAAATTTAAAAAGAAAATGAAAAAAAGTAACTGTTCTAAGCAATGTACCTATCTTTAAGAACAAGGTCAAATTTGAAGTCCTAGCTAAGGTAATCAGTTCCCTGCCCCACCCTACACGCTCCCCCCACACACACACACAAAAAAAAAAACCACAGTAAAATAATTTCAGTTACTGAATATCAAATGTTTATTCTCTAGCTTCTTACTATTACCAAACTCTATTTGATAAGTGGCTCCTCTTAAAACCAGATTTTATTTCATGGAAATTTTGTTCTTTAACAATTCACTTTGAAATGTACAGTGCTGGGAATGAGCGTGCTTCAAGGCACAGCTTGGACAACCAGGCCAGGCAGGCCACCATGCAGGCTGTCCTCACCCCAAGCCCCCACCCAGAAAGCTGCAAACAACTCATGAAACATGCCCACAAAGCCAGCCAGGTTGTCCAAGTCAGCCAAAAACAACACTATACTTGATTCAAATTACAAGTTCAGTACTGTACTGTACACATACAGCATTACACATGCTTAAGATAATATAAGTATGCATAATGACACATTGGGTCTCACTTGTAAAGTAAACTATAAGCAGGCAACTGCAAGTTTTAAAACTACTGAATAACCCCATTTTACCTAAAGTTAAAAATGTTGCTGCAGATACACTGACAGCTTCAGAAGCCTTGGGCATGCAGACAGGAAGTGGGGAAACTATTGCAGCTAAGCATAATCACGTTACAGGTATTTAAGAACCTTTCTAGACAAATTATATTCTAAAGAGGACTATATTGAAGGGCCAGGGCCAGTTTCCAGGTTTGGATGGTTTCTAAGAGAGGGAATTGTGCCCTGATGTGTGTGTTTCTCCCCAGATCCCACAGGGCAAAATGCAGGCGGAGCCACTGTGGTGCCCAGGGTGACTTCAGCCTTTGGGGGCAAGAGCACCTGGTGGTCCCTGGCCCAGGGGAGTCCCTCAGTCTCTGGAATTCCACCCAGGTCTAGAGGGCTGCTCCAGGCTGATGGGGACCAAGTCGGACCTGCAAGCCCAGGGGCAGCCTGGCTATCATTTGGCAGCAACCCACAGTACCTGCAGCTTTAGGGTTAAATGGATCATTTGCTCTACCCCAGGAGAATGCTTGCCAATTAAAGATGGTTTTGCTTGCAATTTTAATATAATCTACAAAAACAGCCTAACTTGTAATTAATAGTACCATGAAAACATAGATAAAATGGTAGAAAACAGGATAATGAAATGAAGTTGCTTTTGATTCTGGCCAATGTTTCCTTTCCTACCACTAATGTCAACAAAGTAAGCCATTTTAACTGAATTTGGGGAAATAAGATGTCTTTCTGGAGCAAAAATATTCTTGCAAGGAGAATTCAGGCAAATATATTCATCATTAATTTTATATATATGTGTGTGTATATATATTTTTATATATGTGTATGTATATTTTATCTTTATACACACACAGAGAAAGAGTGAGAAACAGAGGAAAAATGTAAACACAGCTCCCTATTCAGAGTGGCTGTCACACTGTCTGGTAGTTATGTTGTAGTATCTTAAAAGGATGAGGGCAAGAGAAAGCACCTACACTCTTGGTGGCATGGTCAATGGGGTTCAGAGACTGGAAAAGAGTGCTGTGTATGTACTTGTATTAGGACAGTATAGTTCATGTGGACATTTCAGAAATAAAATAGTTACAGTTCTGAAGTGTGTCCCTCTACTGTCTGATTAAAAGAAGAGTGCTCTATCCCCACAGCACGAAGAAGTAGTCTGTTAGTGAAACGCAGGCAGACGCTGGCCCTGGGCTGCTCATTTGCTTTGCAGATTCAGTACCCTAGGCATCTTTTAAAATTTTTTGTAGATGTGTTTGTTTTGCTGGCTGTGTGCATTGCTAGGAGCAGATGTGGGGACAGAGATTCCATCCCAGAGAGGTCTATTTGTTGAGCACACAGGAGCTGGGCCGTCTATAAGGCTAGTTGCAAGAGGGTGTTTGTTTTGCGAGAACTCAGCAGTACCAAGGCAGTCTGTTAAAATCTCTTTTGACTGATACAGTCACTGGTCCAGAATGAACAAAACACCATCAGGAGATGTATGTGGTCAAATCAAGTCAGAGTATCTGTGATCCAGGGAATCTTGTACTCAGGTTAGGGAAAACTGGCCAATGTGGTTCATGCCTGAGGGCCAGAGAGTTCCAGATTATGGTGTCACATCTGCAACAAAAATTTAGCATAAATTATTTAAAAGCTCTGTATGTGCCAATTCCCCTCGACAAACTTTCCCCTTTCCTTTGCTTCTCATGCACACACACATGCACGTGTACGCACATGTGCACGTGCACACACACCCCATCCAAGCTCGCCTTAATGCTTCAAGACCCAGTACCAGTTCCCCATTTTCCATGAACTTTTTACGCAGCCCACTCTCGACTCCTAAAGCAGACATTGTCTGAAATCCTCACTGTGAAACCACCCACTTCCAATTCCAGCTGCTGCTGCTGCTGCTGTTCCACCACACATCTCTCATCTCTCCCTTTTCTGCCTCCAGGCTTTCTCTGAGAACTAGAGAGCAGGCTCTCCCCATCACAGGGCACAGCGGGGGGATGACGGAGAGCCAATGCCCTCTGTAGGCAACCCCACACCAGCGGGGCTGGAGCCCGTGGATAAATGCCCTACTTGCCATCCTTCTGGGAGGCGTCTGCACACTCCGATGAAATCAGGCCCCTGTGGCCTATAGCTGAGGGTCCTGCAGTCTTCGTTTGCTCTTCCTCCTTGCGGTCTCACTCTCCCTGCCCCCTTGCCCCTTCTTCCGGGATCACCTCCCAAATCAACTATTTATACTTGCGCCCAAGTCCTTATCTCAGGCTCTGCTTGTGGCAATCCCAACTAAGACAGACCCCCATGCTCATGAGCACAGAAAGTGTATTTTTTTTTCACTAGCAGAGCAACACTAGATAAGCTCTTTACTAGTGTCAAAGCTGTGGTGTTGACTTTCAGGGGAACCAGAAGAGTCGCTGAACACTCTGGGCCTCAGTTCTGTCATCTAGAAAATGAGGAGGTGAACTAAAGGGGACCTCTCAGCTCCCTTCCCAAGCTATACTCCCATGACAACACACGCTGTGTGTCCCTTGACCACCTAGGGGTGGCAAAAATGCTGTGGCTTTGCTTGTCACATCATTCCAACCACAAAGGCATAAAACGTACACATTTTCCACAATGTATTCTTCAAACTTTCTGAGCGCTTCTCACACTTGACAACACTCAGTTTTAACACTCATCAGTAAAGGTCAAAGTCTCACCTAACTTAGACTTCTGAAGCCGTCCAAGTTCTCTCAACTTGCATACTCTTTCCATCAAAATAAGTGAATATCTTCACCAATTTCTCCTTCTTCCCCCACTGGTAGCACCAGCCCGCATCTCTCTTCCTACTCTCAGTCCCAAATTCCCACGCATCTGTGTAGCTCCCCCAGTACCTGACTCAGTAACATGCACTTAACTGATACTCAGTAAATGCTGATCAAATGACTTACTGAACTTTTCAAAAAGGAAGACCTAGAATCAGCCCAGTTTTTGAAATATCAATTGGAAAATCGCCTTGATACAATATCGTGGCGTATGAACTTTTTGTTTGTTTATTTTCAGTCATGGTTTATAAACATATTGCTTGTTTGTTTTCAATATATTGCAAAAAGCATAAATCCAGTTAAAGTAAAAATCCAGATTTTCACAGAAAGTACTAAAATTAGGTCCAAAAACAAAAAATTAAAAATTCTAGGCTTAACCAGAAGTACCCTCTTCCCTCCCCAAATCCCCATACCTGTGAGTATAGGTTTTTTGGCTGTCTTCACCGCTGCCATGAACATGTATTCACTGTTAGGGTCATGCACACTGGATTGATACTTCTGAAAGAAAAAGCCAGAAACGTGATTTGTCACCTGCTCCTCCCCATCTCCATCTTTGTTTTTTGACTGTTCTATACTCTTTGTTGAAGTGGAATATGACAAAAGCATATAAATGTGACTTAGGCAGCTGGCTTTAGGCTGAGTAGAAGAACAATATGAAAAGGGCTTTACATAAAAAGAGCTTTCTACTGAACTTCCTCATTTTTGCTTTATTGCTTCTTCCCCAGTAGACACAGATGTGGGCCCAATCTCATTCTCTTCCCTCTTTATCTCTCCTTTCAAATTCCAGTCTGGCACAGATAGACACTGACTGGCCAATGACCACATCATGGATATACTTGAGTACTAGCATACTCCTAGAATATGCAGAATGGTACAAGTTCTTTAATTGAGAAAGTGTAATGTGAGAACTAAAAAGAATATCCCCTAGCACAGAGAGATTTTTGTTGTTGTCATCGCTGCTGTTTATCTTTCTGAATAGCTTTTTGGTAATTTTCTTTAAAAGCAAGGAGTCTAATAACTTACCTTGTAAAGAAGCTGGCAATTGCCTTCTCAGCTACTATTGCCACTTCACAAGACTTTCTCACCGGTTGTTTCTAATTTAGCAGTTCAGCGAAACTTATAACTTGTTTCATCTCTGTCCTCTTAAGAAGCTTAAATTAAAATTTGCAGCCTACGCATAATAATTTTTAAAAAATCAAAGGCATCTATTTTTATGTTTTAACCTTCCTCCTGACCTTTAGTCTTCCCTTGGCCCCAGTTTCATCTTTTTTGAATAATAATAATAATATATCTCTCTGTAAGCCATTGAGTCACGTCTTTTTTGGAATATGTGTGCTATAACACAAATAAACAAACTTCTGTTCCAAGTGATTAATTTAATTGGTAGGTATATCTTGGGGGAAAGGAATTTTCTGGTAAGAGCAATGTGTACTTTTGATGAATAAATAATCATTTATGTACCTTGGTAAAGCAGATTCAAGAAAAGATAGAAATTGCTCACCTTTTTTGTGAGCCAAAAAGTAAATAAGCATCCCAAAACACAGATGACACCAAGAGCTGCACATCCTAAGTATAACCAGAATTTCAGATGGCAACAAACTTGTGATTCTGTGGTAGAAAAAAAAGACATATTAATAAAAAAAACTCTGAGAATCAAATCTCCTCTTATAGTGCTGAACCACAAATTCTTTTATCAAATTTAGAAGAACTATTTAATCAGATGAAGCTTTTCTTTATAACGATCATGAAATCCAGCAAATGGCAACTAACATCATCCCAGTATTACAGCAAGGATCCAAAAACTAAAACCTAAAAGACTATGCACATACATGTTTATAAATGTAGTTAATAAAAATGGCTTTTCTGCCTATATTTTTGCAAGAGTTAGTGGCAAAAGTAATGTTATAAAACTATGATTTTTCAATCATCTTACTCCATTCCACAAACAGAGCACAAAACCAAACCTAAAATCTTAGGTGAGTAGAGATGATAGCCATTATTAAGCCATGACTTTGGTTATTTGTCTTAATTTTTTTCCTGATTTTTAATGATATAGGTGATTTAAAGACAACATGCCCTATTTCTAACTCAGCAATCTATGTGAATAATTTATATATTGTTAATTAATACTGATTAATATTAATAATGAATCATCTCTTATATATCCTCATCATAAATGATTGCCATCAATTACAACTAAATGAACTCCAACACAAAAGGTACTTATTTGTCTAATTATTTTCATTAGTAAGAAACGTTGTTAAAACATGTATGTATTCTTAAGTTTGGAAGATGAAAGCAATGTCTTACCATAAATATGCAAATATTCTCTTTTAAGAATGCCTACTTGAAAAGGAGGAGGATCAAAAATTGATAGTTTGCAGAAGTAATAGCTGGTATGAGAACTATCCAAGTTATATAGAAAAAAAGAGACACTGTTGTTGGACAACTGAGATTTACAAAATTTCAGATCCTCAATGGACACGGCGTTTCCACTTTCCTTTGTCTTAGTGAGATCACAAAGTATTTGCTCCCCTTTCAGTAACTGCATTTTAAATTGCTGGACAATCTCAGGGTATTTGCATAAAACTTTTACACCTCCGTTGTGAAATGAGAACATCTCATAATTGGCAGAATCATTGATTTCTCCTGGATGAAAAGAAAGATAACAAGCAAAAGTGACATTTCATGAATATGTTGCCCTGATAATTATATTTTAACATAAAATTAATTTCTTCTATTCATAAAGTCCTGAAAGAGTTTCAAGCCCCCCCCCAAAAAATAACATAAAACTGTGTCCTAGAAAAAAACCTAATTAGAAACTTGCTTATCATATGTGAATACATAACATGAAATATACTGAATACTAAATAATATATGTACATAGTATGAATCAAACAGGTATGGTCCATGCCCTTTGGCTGCTTTCATAATAGAGGCAGATGATAAATAAATATGTATTGATGCACTGTAATTTGTATTAGGAATGGACTACTACTTGAATAAAAGTAGTAGGGTTGTGGTGTTTCATAATTTTGACAAGAGAATCAGGAAAATGCCACTTTAAGGAAGTGAGTTTTAAAATTGAAATTAAAGGATGAGTAGCACTTAGCCAAACAAGAGGAAACAATGTAGTTTAGGAAAAAAGTTTTCAAAAGTACAAAATAGCTCAAACTAAAGATGATTATATATAAATGTATGTTTACATTATACCCTCCTGCTGGAGAGTAGAAGAACAGATGAATTATTCTCAAATGACAGAAGCGTGTTTCCTCTGAGCCTCATCCACTGAGAACCGAATCAAGGCCTGATATAATGCTAAGCCCCAGATTTTTGTTTACGTATTCATTTTTTTAAAATAAATCGAAGCTCTTAGGAAGCCAAAGTTGTTTTTGTGACCTACACAGAGATCACAGAAAGAAGAAACTGAAATAGTTTGGGCCTAGTAACAGATTCTGAATTATTAAATTATAAATTCAAACTATTCTTTGCCCTCTTTTTCCTTTATCCATTTTCTTATTTAATGTGACAAAGTTGTTTCATGCTGAAATTGTTTGAGAAAATTACTAGCATGATGGTCTCTTACTTAAGTTTTAAAATCTCTTGTCTTTATTTTTGAGAAAACTATATAACAAGTGTAAAGAATTTTTAAGGAAAAAATTACCTAGTCCTCCAGTGAAATGAAATACTGTTTGTATATTTTTGCTCTTTATCTTCCAGAAACACACTTATTTTATATAGCGAATATACTATTTTGTGTTCTCTCTTGTCATTTAATGTCATATCATAAATATTTCACTTTTACACATTCATCATAATTATCTTTTTAATGACTATAAAACAGGGCATAATGTTAACCCATTATAATTTATTATACCTAATAATAAATTATAACTATAACTAATATTGGGTGTTGGGGTTATGTTATTTTTAGCACTTTGATTTTATGTAAATATTACAACATTTTGTCAAATTGTTTAAAAGTTACTGTTACACTATATATTGCCATTTTGCTTTCTGACATTTATAATAGGATTAACATTATACAGGAGGGGCCATTTGTAACACCTCTGCTTGCACTAGTTGCCTTAATTTTATTTAAGATTCACCACAATTACTTTTATTCCTTAATATCTCTAGGCTTTAAGTTATATCTCTCTTATAACTATGGAATAGAGTTTCTACTTGGGGAATTGATTCTAAAAATAAGCACAAGCGTTCCAGCTTTCAGTTATGGTAGTCCCTATATTCAAACTAATTCCCACGCCAAAACAACCAAAAATGCTGAACAAAATGTCTAAAAATATTATTGAAAGGACTAAACAGCTGAAACAAAGGAGGAGAAATTACTAGGTTACATGTGAAAAGAGAATCCAGAACACAGAGAAACAAGCAGTGCTTGGAAGCCACTTTTACTCTGACAGCATTTGCTGTTCTCCCAAATTCAAGCTTTTGTTTTTATGTCTCAACTCCTAGAGTTTGCAAAGTGAAGAATCCAATAGAAGACCCTCTCCCCAACAAGTTGGGATCCCAAAGAATTACATCCTTATAGCACAGGTAAACCAGAAGTCACAGCAGGCCCTGAATTTTATATATATATTTTATTTAAGATTTTGAATATATCCAATTATATCAAATCTGAATTATAATTCAGACTATAATCCACTCTCAAAGCACTTCAATGGTCCAGAAAACCTCAATCCTTATATTTTGTTTAAGGTGGTCTTGCAATATTATTATCCCTAGGCTTTTGAAAGTAAAAATGCAAACTGTTATGGGAAGGAAAAATTTACATCCTAGGCCTCAAATTATTCCTACACAAAATATTTAAATTCATTGACAAGAACACCATAAAAACAATGAGACACACAGAAAACTGGGTAACAACAGAAATAACCAACTATAGAAACAAACCCACAACTAATATATTTGAATTATCAGGTCTCCAAAATAAAACAATGAGTTTATTATTCTTAAGGAAATAAAGAAATACTTGTAGTAATATCTACAATACACAGTAAATTTTTTTAAAGTCAACTAATCTGAAAAAGAACCAACTACAATTGGCCAAAAAAATGCACTGAGACTTAAAACTCGATGGATAGATTACTATTAACTCTTTAATATTAATAATTAATATTAATAATAACTTTATTAGCTCTAACATATTAGAGCTAAAGAAAGAATTGATGAACTAGAAGATGGGTTAGAAATTATTCAGATTCAACCCACAGATTCAAGAATTCCAACAAATCACAAGCAAATTTTTAAAAAATATGCACACCTAAACTTATTTTAGTGAAAATCCTAAAAATATCCAGAGAAAAGAGAGTGATTACCTTCAGAAAAGCAACTATTAAACTGACAGGTGATGTCTCAGCATCAACAATAAAAGCCATGATACAATGGAATTATATCTTACTTATATCTTATTATTCAATGTGCTGGAAGAAACTGCCGAGCACAGTGGCTCACGCCTGTAATCCTAGCACTCTGGGAGGCCAAGGCAGGCAGATTGCTCAAGGTCAGGAGTTCGAGACCAGTCTGAGCAAGAGCGAGACCCCATCTCTACTATAAATAGAAAGAAATTAATTGGCCAACTAAAACTACATAGAAAAAATCAGCCTGGCATGGTGGCACATGCCTGTAGTCCCAGCCACTTGGGAGGCTGAGGCAGGAGGATTGCTTGAGCCCAGGAGTTTGAGGTTGCTGTGAGCTAGGCTGATGCCACAGTACTCACTGTAGCCTGACACAAAGCAAGACTCTGTCTCAAAAAAAAAAAAAAAAGAAAAAAAAAAGAAAAAGAAACTGTCACTATATAATATAATGTCTAGGAGGATAAGGAAGGCATATGTGATTTGAAACTTATATAAGTAAAGTGTGCATGTTGTAATTTCTTGCATAATCACTAAAATATAAACACCAATTATGTAACCTAAATGAATAACGCAAAATTCAGTCTAATAGCTTTGTCTAAAGAGGGAGAAAGAGTTGGCATCAGGAAGGAAACAGGTGTGGAAAGCTTTCTATGTGCTGACAGTGTTTTATTTCTTGACCTGTGGTGATTATAGGACTGAGAGAGTATGCTTTATAATTATCCATTACATTATACATTTATAGTTTTTTCACTTTTCCGTATGGATGTTTCATTCTACAATAAAATGTTTAAAAAAATACAGAAGAAAAATAATGCTTACTTCATTTTAAAAACTAGAGGGAATGAGGTGAGCAAACGGTAAATGGGGAAGAACGGCCGGCAAGAGAATAGGTGCGGTCTAGATTAGATTAAAATGAAGGGGCCTTATTTGTCTGAGAGTAAATTACGTTGCCTTACTATTGCTTTGATGCTTATGTCTCTACCGTCTGCTGCAGAAGATAAAATCAGTGGACTGGTTCTCAGTTCCTTTCAAAATGCTTAGAACAAATTTCCCAGAGATTTTAGAATGGCAGCAAGTAAACCACAAAGAGATTTTGGAGCAAAAGTGTCTGCAGCCACACAGATGTAAATGCATTGTCTTCTATTTCTGAAGATGGTTTTGTCAGCAACTTTTTCCCCCTTTGTACCCACGCTGTGACCAACACAAGAGGAAATTAATGGTTGGTAGAGCAGTGCGCTGGAAGTGCAATGCAGTGATTCCCAAGGGAACCAGAGGCAAATTCTGGCTCTGCCACTAGGAAGGCTCTGTGACTAGGGTCTCCTCTTCATCTGGGAAATAAGGAAGTGTTACAAAAACATCTTAAAGTTCTTTCCAACACTTACTTTCTACCTGGATTCAGAATTGGAACATATCCAGATGAGACAAAACAACAAAGAGAGCTAATACTTTACTACCGGGTGAGTCCTCCAGAAGGGAAGCCATGTTCCCATAATTCTCTCTCTCTCTCAATATCATAATGGGCTTTTCCAGGGAGTCAGAAGAAATTAAAATGAATGTGACTATTGTTCTTGCCCACAAAAGTATTTAGGTGAGAATAGGAAGGCTGTGTCTCCATTTTTCTTAAATGGTATGTCAACAGTGTGTGCCATTAACATTAACTGGGAATTCTAAAGTATCATTTCTATTGGACACTTTGAATTATTCATGTTATCATTTTTAACCTAAAAATTACCTGGGTCACTTTTTATTATTAAATGTAGTGATAAGAAAGCTGACTCAGGTTTCCACACATCAATGTTCAAGCTTTCCATCTAGAAAACCACTTGGCAACTCTAAATCTGCAATTTGAATGTTTTCAACTATGGTATTTAATCAATTATTTCATAATTAATTTGGCATCTAGAGAACAGATGTGCTTGTTATGATTTCAATATCTGCCCCCTCTGAAACGAATGTTGAAATTTAATCCCTGATGTAATGTATTAAGAGGTCGGACCTTTAAGAGGTAATTGGGTCATGAAGGCTCTTTCCTCATGAATGAATTAATCCACTCATGGGTTAATGAGTTAGTGGATTAATGGGTTATTGCAGGAGTGGGTTAGTTATCATGAGAGCACGTCTGTTACAGAAACCCATGTTGGCATATTCTCTCTCTCTCTCTCTCTCTCTTTCTCTCTCTTATCCCTTCACCAGATAATGCCCTGCCCTGCCCCACCTCAGGACTCTGTGGAGTGTCCCCACCAGCAAGAAGGCCCTCACCAGATGCAGCCC